CAGAGCCCGAGACCCACTAATTGGCTGCGGGCGCTCCCCGGCTCCGCCCGTCGCCGCAGGGCACTCTGGAAACTGTAGTCCCCGCACACCACGCGCCGCGAGCCGCGGGCTGGGCTTTGGAGAAGCTTAGGGGACCGCTCGGTGGGACCGCTCATGGACTCAGGAGCCAGCCCGCCGCACCTCGTGGCTCCCAGAACTTTTGTGGGAGCGAAGGGGACGGCGACTTGGCATTTCGCGAGAGCCCACGGATCGCTGTCAGCGCCCAGAAGGTGAACCTGCACTTGTTCATTTAATTCTCCCGCAGCTATCCCGCGAGGCTGCCCTCGCCCCCACTTTTCCTATGGGGACGCCCGCAGGCGAGGGCACTCGCCCCGGGTACACACGCTGGCTGCTCGTCTGCTGCGGGTTCCTCGGCGCGGTGCTGCCTCCTAGCGTGCGACGGGCAGCGCCTGTGGAGCCGCGGCCAGTCCCTGCAGGCCCCGGCTTCCTGGCGCGGTCCTGCTTTCCAGGGGCTCCCCGTCCGCGATCCACAAACCTGCGATCCACAAACCTGCCATGATTAAAGAGCTGGAAGAAAGAGCTCCTTTGGCACTGATTTATCTTATGCTTCATGATGGGTTTGCAGATGTATTTGCATATTAAATAAAAACTTTATTGTAATTTTTAATTTCCTGGTTTCAAAAAAGATGAGCGCACTACATACAGATCAAACTGAAGTCTTCTTTGAGCACCTTTCTCGATCCTGGCCACCTGAGTCACTTCACTGCTACTGTTGCCTGTTTGTCCTATAAACGGTTATAACATGCTTTTAGCTGAATCTAAGGAGAGTGCTGGGGGCGGGCAGTCTGCAAGGCTTATTATTTGGACCCTGTGTCATAAACAAGTTGAGTCTTCGCGAATGTCACACTTCAGTAGCTCCAACCCCAGAGAACGGCTGCGTTGAGGTGTTTTCGCCCCTTCTTCGGTGCTTTGTTGGAAAATATCTCTTGAGCAGTGTTCAAACACCAAGCATGGTTTTCCACTGGGAAAGCCAGCTAAAGAAGCCTGCGATGCTGGTAGTGGTCGGCACAGAGTGTCCTGAGTAAAGGTTGCTAAGCCGTTCAGAATGTTTCCACAGCTGCAGGAGTGCCTGGAATTGTAGACGGTCTTTAAAAGAAGGAAATGCTGCTCATCGCTGACCGTTCTCATTGAGTCAGGCGCTGTCTGAACCTCCTAGAACATGCTGAAAGCCATACCAAAGGGGTGGGGAGACCAAGAAGGTTGTTCCATACTAGGAGATGAAGGCTCTGACTTCCCGAAAGCTGTAGGCCTGGAGGGCTGTGAAGGTCAGAGGTCTCTGACCAGCTCTAAGAGCTTCAGGGGAAAGAGAGAGAGAGAGAGAGAGAAATGGAGAGGTTCATTCATTCAATAACATTAAGTGAAAGAAGCCAGACACAAAATCCTGTGTTCTATAAATTTCCATTTATATGAAATGTCTAGAAAAGGCAAATCCATACAGACAGAAAGTAGATTAATGGTTGCCTGGAACAGGGTATGAAATGGGAATTAACTGTACATGAACAATAAACAGTCTAATTGGGGGTGATGAAAATGTTCTAAAACTGCACAATGGGGACAATTTCATAACTTAGTAAATTTGCCAAAAATAACTGAATTTCAAACTTTCATTTTTGAAAATAAATGAATTTTTTGTGTATATTATACCTCAATAGCGTTGTAAAATACATTGAGGTTCAATAGAATCAAAGCTACTTCTTTGAAATAACTAATAGACAAGACTAGTCAAAGAAAAAGAAAAAAAGGGTTGGGCACAGTGGCTCACACCTGTAATTCCAGCACTTTGGGAGGCCAAGCTGGGTGGATCACCTAAGGTTAGGAGTTCAAGACCAGCCTGGCCAACATGGCAAAACTCCAGCTCTATGAAAAATACAAAACTTAGCTGGGCAGGGTGCTGCACGCCTGTAATCCAAGCTACTTGGGAGGCTGAGGCAGAAGAATCACTTGAACCCAGAAGATGGAGGTTGCAGTGAGCC